AGACTTTAGGGTCTCTTCTACAGGATGTAGGTTACAATGGTGGTTAAAAGAGAACTTTACACTCATTTAGACCAGAGCTCAAGTACTGCTCTGGAAGGAGGCCTCTTAGGCCTAGACAAGTTATTTTCTACTGTATGTCTCAGTTGCTTCATATGTAAAATAAGGATAAAAACACTGACATATCTTGTATGAGCAATGGGTGTACATACATGTGAACTATTTATCAGCCAAGTTGAGCATTTACTCAATCTTCCCTGTCAGTCCATGAACACTGCTGTAATGACCTAGTTCTATTATTTCACCTACCGGAGCTGGATCTTCTTGAAAACAAAGACCACAATCCAGTCACTTCTGATTTTTCTGGCACCCAGTGTCATGTCCAGAACATAAGAGATGAACAAGAAATGTTTTTACCTTCACAAGCAATGAAGCACTTGTTATTTCAGAATTAGTGGTTTTATTTTTAAAAGTGAAATGAGAGGTCGCTATTAACTTCCTGTCGCTATAAATGTCTGGCTCTGAAGCATGCTTGAGAATTATAGCTAAAACATATTTTAATTCTGAGTTAGCCTTTAATTTATTTTTAAGTGAACTAGCAACTGGAATCTTTACGAGGGATACTTGGAAGTCAGGATAGGTAACTCTGCTTTTTTGTGGCTAAAATTTAAGTACTTAAGGAAATTAGAAGAAACTAAAACGTGTAGACCAGTTGTGGCATATCTACAGCATGCGTGCTGCAGCAGGATGTTCTAATCAGTGGAAGCTCCAGAAAGCCCATCATTAGTGGTTTAGAGAATTGGGACCAGATTTGGAAATTTGGTCCTTCTCCTTTGGACAGAGCTTCTAAGCATTTAAGTTTACCCCAGGTGTCACTTAGGCAGCACATTTGCTTACATACTGATCATACTGAACATAACTCAGGCAGCTGTCATTTCAGTCGATTCTTGTATTGAATAAGTTTGATAAAGCTGTCTTATATTTTGTTATGAAAATTAAAGAAAAATGCATTTTATTTTAACTGGGGATTGAACTCAGGCCCTTGCGCTTGCCAGGGAAGCGCTTATTCCACTGAGCCATCTCCCCAGCCCCTAAAAAATGCAATTTTTGTTCCATGCTTTATCTAGGTGATTGGACTGGCAAGTGGTTGACCATAGGCATCAAGGCAAAGTCTTTTGAGAGGCACTTGACGAGGGCATATCATGCCCATGGGTTTTTTTTTTTAGAAGTATTTCTGCTGATGAATTAGTTTTATGAGTTTAACAGGAAAACATAAGGTATTAAATTTTTAATGTGTAATGAGTGTTTTTTTTTGTTTTTTTTTGTTTTTTTTTTTGCGGAACCGGGGATTGAACTCAGATCCTTGTGTTTGCCAGTCAAGCGCTTATCCTACTGAGCCATCTCCCCGGCCCCATGAGTGTTTATTGATAAGTTTACTGGTACAACTTAGATATACAAAATGATCACATTCGTAATAGGGAATTGGTACCTATATATGATGTGCCTTGACTCCTTTCTTTCCCCATCCACCTCCTCCCTTCAACCCTTCATTCTCTGATTTACAAAGCTTTGTTTCCATATTATCTTTTTTTCTCATTTTTTTATTTTCCTTTTTCCTCTTCCTAGTTACCTTTTCCTTTTGAAAAACTTCTTCCTATTTCACAATATCCATTATGAACCATGTTTCTTATATATGCTTATAGTTTCTCATACCAGAATGACAATGCAACATTTACACGTGTCTTGATTTATTTTACTTAAGAGTATGAGCTCAAGGTGCATTCATTTACCTAGAAATGTCTCAAATTTGTCCTGCTTTATGGCTGAATGAGTAGTTCTCCATTGTATAAAAAGCCACATCATTTTATCCATTCATTGGTTGATGGGCACTTGGGCTGTTTCCAAGACTTAGCTATTATAAACTGTGCTGCTATAAGCTTGAGTGTGCATATATTGCTGTTGTAAAATGCTATTCTTTTAGGAGGATACCAGTGCGGGGAGGAAAGCTGGATCAAATGGGACCTCTAGTTCTAGGTTTTTTATTTTTTATTTTTTTGAGGAATTCCCACAGTAATTTCCTTAGTGGCTGCCCCAGTCTACACTCTCACCAACAGTGGAGAAGGGTTTCTTTTCCCCCCACAGCCCACAGTATTTTTCATTGATTAATTTATTGATGATAGCCATTCTTTCTGGAATAAGATGGAATCTCAATGTGTCAATTTGCACCTCTTGAATGACCAGTGATATTGAATATTCTTGCATATATTTATTTGCTTTTTGTACTTCATCATGTGAAATGGGTATATTCATCTCAGATGCCCATTTGTGGAACTCACTGAGAAAAAAATTAAGGAAACACCATCTTTCACAATAGCACTGAAAAAATGAAATACTTAAGAATCAGTCTAACAAAGAAAGTAAAAGATCTCTCCATTGAAAACTATGTGAAAGATCTCTACATTGAAAAGGGAGCTTGAAGAGGAAAGATATCCCTTGCTCAAGAAAAGGAAGAACCACATAGTGAAAATGGCCAGACTCTGAAAATTGTTGTATACATTTAATGCAATCCCAATAAAATAGTATTAGCATATCAATATAATTGTAAAGAATTAGAAAAAACACTCCTAATATTCCTTTGGAACTAGAAGAGACCTAGAATAGCAAAAACAGTTTTGGCAACAAAGGTGAGGCAGGGGCATCACAATTACTACAGAGCTACTGTGATAATGACAGGATGGTACTGGGGAAAAAGCAGATCTGAAGCTCGATGGCATAGATTAGAAGATGCAGACACAACTCCAAACACACTCAACCACCTTACTCTTGGCAAAGGAACCAAACATGTTCACTAGAAGAAAGAGAGTTTCTTTAATAAATGGTGCTGGGAAAACTGGTTGTCAACATGCTGAAGACAAAATTAGATCCATGTGTCTAACCATTCTTTAAACTAAAATCAAAATAGATCAAAGATCTAAATATTAAACACTAAAGCCTCCTGCAAAAGAGAACAGGTAGAACTCTTGAGACATAGGTACAGGCAAAGACTTCATCCACAAACCCCACATGCATGGGAAATACTACAAAGAATCAACAACTGGGATCTCATCTTACCAAAAGCTTTTGCATACTGAAAGAAATGACCAACAGAGTGAAAATTCCACAGAATGGAAAGAATTTTAGCCAGCTGTTCCTCAGGCAAAGTACTAATATCTAGGACGTAAAGAATTGTAATGAGTGTTTTGAATACACGTCAACATTTTCACATCAACTGTTCACTTGCTTATAAGACGTAAAAATATCAGAAATAAATTTCAATGAAAATACAAACAAAAGTCTATCACAGAAAGGATACCTGCTTCAACTTGTCACACCCAAGGGAGTCTTCTATGCTCCATGCACACACCTTGCTTACACTGACAGCACATGTGCTTAACTTTCCTTTCCTGTATGGCAGCCTGTGCTTGTCACCTCATCTTCTCATTTGTCAGGAGCGTCTTACTGTATCATATTGATACAGGGAGAAAGACTGATCTTGGGTGAGTGATCTCCGAACGATACAGGGAACCTCCAAGTGACATAGGGAAAAATGGTCTCCCGACCTGACCTGGATGAGTTCATGTTCTCTAAAACTGAAGAATGAGAGTCACATGGAGAGAAAACATTCTCTCAGGCTTTCACGGGGAGCACATTGGCCAAGCAATGGCCGTGACTCATCCACATGGCTGACACTGACAAAGGATCTACAATCTGAGGTACAAGATCTCAGGATAAATCCTGAGGGGATTTCACTGACCTTATCAGACCCAAAAGCTACAACTCTTGTTGCATAGGTCCTGCTTTATCTTGGTTTTAACCATCCAGCAGAAGAGTATAAAAATGAAGTACAAGAAGTAAAGCCATGTTGTTATGTTGAGCTGTAGGGGAGTTAGGTCAACAATCTCTGACATTGCCAGTCAAGCGGAAGACCCAATAATATTATGGATTACTGGACTCTTTTAGAATATTTTTGCTGAGTTAACACACCTATAATATTCAAATGACGGAACTAAACAAAAAAGGGGATATATAAATGAATGTCCATTTTGTATCTGTATATTCAAAATTGTTAAGATATATAGTTCCATTCTCTTAATGAATAGAGGGATTTTTTCTAATAGTGTTTGTAAATAGGATTTCATGTCTGCATCTTGTACAGCAAATAACCACTAGGAAGGCAGTATGCAATGTGTTAATTATTGAAACTGTCCTACCAATTTGATTTGAAACTGTCTCATTGCTATTTGTCTGTCAATAAAATTATGGAAAAATAAATAAAGTGGAAAAAAACCCCTGAAGAATGAGTTTTAGGAACAAACGGAGGTTATTAGCAGAATATATTTATTGTGGGAAAGAAAGCTCCTGTCTGAGAGAGGGACAGGAGGGCCCCTGAGCGGGTGGTCTCTGGGAAATTGCCTCTTTCTTCCAGGGACTTTTATAGAGTAAAACCATGCAGGGTTAAGGTGGAGAATACGGGAACTTGCTGAGGTGGAGGTGGGGCAGGACAAAACTACGGTCAACCAATGGGATTACAAACACCATTGCTCAGGTAAAATTGATTAAGTTCAGGACCAAATGGGGAAGCAAGTCATATAGCAAGCAGGCATGGATGTAGAACAGGACTTTATCAGGTAGCCATCCAGTAGTAGTCAGATTAATGATTCTTCTGGCTCCCTCAGGGTGATGATTGGTCTCAGATGCCAATCTTTATGGAGGTTGGCATTTGTTTGATCTTTGGTCTTTAGGTCTGGTCCATGGTGGGAGCATCCGTTCCTCCCACAGTTGCAAGTTATCTAACTTGTCTTCCTTTGAGGGCCTGGCCCTGTCTGACTGCCTATAATATTTTTATCTAACTCAGCTGCCTGCAACAGTATAATATACACTTAGCAAGAAAATAAAAAAAATCAATAAAATATCAAATGTGTCACAGTCTTTAGAATACACATCAACATTTTCACATCAACTTACAAAACTTGAAAAATAACAGAAATAAATTCCTAGGTGAACTACAAGGAAAATACAAACAAATGTATACCACAGAAATGTTTGCTTCATCCAGCTGGAAACATGGGAGGTGTCAAAAATCTATCACAGTGTTTTTATGATTTGGTCAGTTAACAAAAGGTGTCTGGTTCCAAAAAAAAAATAGTCCTCCAACTGTCATAAGCCAAGACAGTCTTCACACACAAGAACTGCATGTTCCATGCACAAATATCCCTTACACTGATAGCACGTATGTTTTGTTTTCCTGTCCTTTTTTTTAGGGCACAGTTGGCATCTTTTTGGTTTTTTTACAGTCCTAGTGGGTCTCTGTGATGTGCCTGGCTGTTGCCCTGTCAGCTCCAAATCTGTTTTGTGAAGTTCCCTGGGCAGAAACATTTTGTCCCTCTTCCGTTGTAGTTGTTCCCTTATGAGTTCCAGTCCCAGTCCTCTAAGAAAATTTCTCCGTGATATTTTGCATTTGTTATTTTCTTTGTAAACTATGAAACTATTTATGCCAGACATGTTTAGGATTGAATAAAACACAATCATTGGCCAACGCTTTGTGTTTCGAGTGACATCATAGTTGCTGCATAATTCATCAACAGTATCTACACCACCTTTGGTTTTGTTGTAAAAAGTTTCCATCTCTGGCTTCATTTGTGTTGAGGTATCTCTATCAATACTGCCGTCATGGTGCAGCGTTGACATCAGCAGTACCACTTTGTTTTTCTTTGCCATATAGGAGGCCAGTGTTATGTCTTTCTGAAATCCAAAGATCGTACTGTACAATTCTCTGTTTCGAACTTGCAACATTTCATGGGGAATTTCCGCTTTGTTCTTGCGTATGGTTCCTACACTGGTCAAATGGTGTTCTCTTAACAGATGTAACATCAAAGGGTAACTGGTAAACCAACTGTTGAATGTCACATTCCGATTACTTTGGGAGATAGGAGCAACAAGTCTGTTTATAATATCATTTGGTTTATTGCTGCATGAATAAGGACCTGGTGGCTGAATTCCAGGATAAATTTCTAAATTGAAAGTATAATATGTTTTTGCATCTACAAGAGTATATATTTTTATGCCATATTTTGAAGGTTTATTTGGTAAACACTGCCTAAAGCTGCAGCGACCATGAAATGCTGCAAGCTGTTCCGCAATGGTCATGTATTCAGATGGTGTGTAAATTGCTTGGCAGTTTGACAGGAAGCTCTCAAAGAATGAGCGGATAGCAGCCAGATTATCAGTTCTTTTTCTTTCTTGTCGAGTGGTTTTATCATCAAATCTCAGGCAATTCTGAAGGAAACCAAATCTCCTCAGTGTCATTGTTATTCTACAAACCTCTAGCCCACACCCATCACTTCTCCATAAGTCTTTTACATTGCTTCGATTAGCATGAGAAAGGCCTGCTAGGTACAGCAGCCCAATGAATGCTTTGAGTTCAAATAGTGAAGTGTCGTAATAAACACATTTTTGAGTATGACTATTGGTACATATAGACCGTTTTAGTTGTATTTCAATATTTGTGTGTTTCACAACATCTTGTAGCATATCGTCTGTTATAATCAGTTTCCAACATTGAATGGCAGTGTTGGCATTCCGTCCAATTGGGTTCACCCCTGCCAACAACCTAGCATCTTCAGACCTAGTTCTGACATTAGATTGTTCGGGCCTGCGTGACCATTTTGTTGCGTTCTGACTAGTCAAATATGAACTCGCGCTGATGTTTTCATCATCTAAATCAAGGTCGTCATTCCCAGTGTCTGTATCAGTCAATTCTTGCTCCATCTCACTGGTGCAGGATCTCTGGCTCAAATGGTCAGTGTCAATGTCAATGTCATCATCCTCAGTGCTTGAGTCACCTGATGACTCACTTTCTACCTCCCCCAAAACTTGCAAGTCTGGATTTTCATGTGCCATTGTACTGAACTGGCCTAATTCTACAAGAAAAATCAAAAGAAGACATTTGAAAAACCCTAAATGCACAGAAATTTAACAAGGCATATTACAAGGGTAAACCCACCTGTTGTTACTTTGGAGCTCCTGAACACAACTTGCCGCTCATCTTCCAAGTGGGTGAATGCACAGATGGGTTCCTGTTTTCCCCGGGCACAGCTACAGTGAGCCACACCCAGCTACCATTACACTAAAGTATATATTTGTATCACAAAAGTATGGCATGCATGTACTTTAACACCCCCCCCCATGCCTCCTTAAAAGGATGTGAGTATACTGGGGACCAGCATATAAACTGTATCAAGGTAAGATGGTGAAGTATGGACAAGATGACAGGAAGCACATTAGGAATGAAGCAGGCTCTACATAGGAAATAAAAATTGACAGTTTCAGAAGATCCAGTCTATAGTTGGTTAGCTCCAAAGCAAACATGGCATGGCAGAAGGTCACCGCAGATAAAAGCTGCTCACGTCATGGTGGCCAGGAAGCAGAGGAGGAGCCACTGAAAACATACCTCCCACGTCACATTTCAGTGATTCCCCCCCCCCCCGTTACCTGGCCCCATCTCTTAATAGCACATTCAGCCATAACTTCATCCATGGGTTAATCCAACAAAGGATATAGCACCCCCTGGTCCAATAATCTTCCAAAGCCTCACCTTTGAATACATGAGACGTCGGGGAAGATTTCAGATCCAGACCATCACAGATATATTAATAGCTTTTGGGTAAAGCTGGGTACATTCTGGTCTGGCCACAGCTCATCTCTGTCTAGCTTAGCAAATAAAATCCCTTTCTCTTGCTGTGGGACAAGGAATCCTCCAGTCTTACTTCCTCCTAAGATACACATCTGTCTTCAAGTTCCTATTAAATTGAACTTCGTGCAATCCTGGATTTATCTGCCTTTCTTGTTGTTCTCTCAGCTCTTCCCACCGTTCATCAAAGTTTGTCCTCATACACAAGACTGGATTTATCAAAAGTAGGATAAAAAAATGAGGTATATTGTCATGGTTTGTCTCAGGATGTCCCCTAATGCCTCATGCAACCATGGGGTGGGCTTCTAGAGTTTGTGATTGATTCATGGTCCAATGCTGGGATTGTGGGTGTGAGTGTTGCACCCACCCTGGGGCAGGTAGCCTGCATACAATATAAGGGAGGGAAAGAGGCTTGCTCTCTCCTGCTCTTCCCTTTTTGCTCTTGTTGCTTTTGCTGTTTTCCACCCCATGAGCTGTTGCCCTCTGCCATATGCCATTCTGCCTTGGAGCCAGCTGAGTAGGGACTGAAACTTCCACAAATGTTTCCTTCCGTAATTTCGGAAGTAGGGTATTTGGTCTTAGCAACAAGAGAAAAGTAACTAAGTTATATATGGGACCATTTCTTAGCCTTTAAAAGATACCTTGCCATTTGCCACAACACAGATGTCCTTAGACAATTATGCTAAGTGAAATAAGACACAGGATGAAAAATGTTGCACAATTCGCTCATCTGCAGACTATTTTAGCATTACAAACATAAACAGATACAAAATGAAAGAGAAGTTACCAGGGTCAGGAGGGAGAAGAAGAATTAGAGAAATCTAAGTCAAATGACACAAAATATATAAAAGAAACAAGTTTAGAGAGCCAAAGTACAACATGAGGACTAAAGTTTAAAAAACTACTGGATCAGGAAATTTTGTTAAGAGTTCAGCTGCTTTTGTCACAAACAAGTAACTATGCTATGATAGATTAATCTTATTTGCTGGGATCATCAGTTTACTACCAGTGTGTATCCTACATCATGTTATAAATCTCATTATGTTATAAATCTGCATTAAGATTTATGGGAAGAGAGGCAGAAGCCTGAGAGGGGAGCACAGGAATTAAATGACCTCAATTGGGAATAGACATGGGGTTGCAGGAGGAGAGGGAAAGGCTTTTTTTTTTTTTTTTTTTTTTTTTAAATTTAGGACAGACTCTACAGGGCTTCACTACTAGACTGGACACGTAGTGATGCTCCTATGTTCAGCCCACCAAGCGCTGGGAATACAGGCTTTTGTCACCACACCCAGTCTCAATTACCCTCTCAGGGCACCCCGGGGGCAGGGCTGGCATGACACGGCTCCAGCCGCTGCGCTCCGCCTAAGCAGGCACTTTAATCCACTGAGCTATCAGGCAGGCACAGGAAAGCCATTTTTAAGGAGACTCGATGGCCACCTGGACAGCAAAGAGTAGAGAGGAAAAAGGAGAATGTTTTCTGGGTGGATTCATCACAAAATGCAGAGCCAAATGCAAGAAGAGCTGGGGGCAAGTTGTGGGGTGGGGAGGAAGGCACAAACGTCGCTGAGTTTCATCTGAAGTACCTATGGGGTTCCTAAGCACAGCTGACCCAAAGACAGGAATAAACAGATGCCTATTTTTGAGAAGCATGAATCTACAATGCTGGAAAACAGGGTAGAGTCCACACACAGCTCCTAGTCTGCAGACAGGAATGCTGGGATTGCAGACTTGCTGCTCTGGGGCTCAGCAGTAAAAATGTTCAAATAAAGGAATCTGCTTACCTTTTGTAATAATATTTACACAATCTCTGAAGCTCCAGATCCACAATAAGTAATATTAAGAAGGGACCACCCCACTTCCTCCCTCTAGCAGTAGGGTACTGCCTAAGGACTATGGCATTATGAAAGCCTTCATATCAGAACAGGTTCAAATCCAAGCCTGGTCATAATCAGTTAAGTGACAATTTGTAACTGGCTTTACTGCTTAGAACCTTTATATTTTCACCTTCAGATAAGGACAGCATGAGAGCCTTCAGATGTTAGCAAGAGCATAGCACAGTGGGCAAAACCTGAGCCTTGAAAACAGAGTTTGAATCCTGCAAGAGCCATTCATTAGCTGTGCAATGCTGGGAAAGCTTCTGAATCTCTCTGGGCCTAGTTTTCTTCTCTGATTTTATCACATAGCATCAGAGTGAAGATTTTATGAATTCACACAATGCACCTAGAAAAATAAGGGACTTTTCAAAGGGCTTCTACATGCAAAACTATTTAATATAAGCAATGTCTATAAAAAGTGCTGAAAAGGACTATTATTACCATTGTTATGGCTAGCAAATAGCTTTGGGAGTATAAAACTTTCTATATGGAAAGTGTAAGAAAACAAAGGGTACAATGTGTGTGAAAGGACATATGCTGCAGGGCATTTTCCCTTGGATGAATTTACTCTGGGACACCCTGGTGCTTCTTGCACTTCTAAGCACTTGGAGATTGTTGGCTGAGGTTGGAGGAACAGTCCATTTCCAGCCATGGCCCTCTGTGTGCAAGACCTGTGCTTGAGAAATGTGGAGCAACGTTTCACCTACTTAGCAGGAGAGTCCAGATAACCTCTGCCCGGGCTGGAGAACACCGTAGGCCCAGGACTCAGAACTCAGACAGCACCCACTGCACCGTACTTTCTTCATTTTAAGTGTGTTTTCCTCACCTTGCCCCCAGGAGTCCTGTTTTAGTTTCTAGACTTTAAATGAAACTTGTGACCCAGGAGTGCCATCGTGTTCCGTAACCGAAAGGTGTCCAGTAGAAAAGTGGATCGAGCAGCTGGCACTGCAACAGCTGCTAATGTATGAATATCCAAGCCATGATGAAGGTTTTCTTCTATTTATTTATTTATTTATTTATTTATTTATTTATTTCCAGAACTGGGGATTGAACTCAGGCCCTTGCACTTGCCAGGGAAGCGCTTATTCCACTGAGCCATCTCCCTGGCCCCAATGATGAAGGTTTTCTTAATGCTCACGAGGAAAATATTGTAAAATTGTGCAGTATTGCTAGAAATTTTGTCTCATAGATTTTCTAAGCCATTCTGAGAACCTCTTCAGCAGGCTATCTAAACACTTGGCTGTACCATCTTTAAACTACAAATATGCCTTAATTTTGCAAATCATATTGTGTTGTTGAACCTCAGGGGCTACATCAACCACCAGGAATTCTGCTTGTATTTCCTGGGCTTTGCTGAATAGACACAGCTTCTGGCTTTCTAATTCATGAAGTTTATAAATTGGTTCACATGACAGGAGAGGTGGCATGAACTTTTCACTGGTTCCTAAGAAAGATACCACCAATTTGGAGGAGGAAAATTCCAACTTGCTCAGTGAATCTCAGCCTGTTACTGCTCGTGGTTGCTAGCAGGTCCTGTCTATGCATCAAGGTGCCTGTCACTAAAGACTGAGGGCTCACACGGCTCCCACCTACTGCTGCTCCGTTGGGAGCAGACAGCTTGCACTTCTCCTGTGTCACTGCTCTCGGAGCCCACTGCATGTGTGGCCCAGCAATGCTTCTGTGATACTTACTTCAAAGTCTACAATTCTCTGTTCATGGGATAAACATAAAGGCAGTCATTCCTTGCTCTAATCTGTGTCAGCCCTCTCCTTTACTAAAGCAACTGCTCCCTCTGAATTGCTCCTGTGACAAGTCATGCTTCCTAGTACTTCACTTTCTACAGAGAGAAATGAAGCACAACCCCAAGACTAAGGTGGAAGTGCAAGTTCGGACCACTGAAATGCTTACTGGGCTCTCAAGTGCCTGAAGCTACACTTAGAAAAGAGACTCATGGTCCTAGCAAAAGAAGAATGATGCTATTGTAACTGTCACATGACCAGGACTGGGCAGCATGAGGGGAGGGAGTGGCCTTCCTGGTGCAGAAAGCTGTAAACAGCACGGAGCTCTCAGTGCAAACTGCTTGGAAAGTACATTGACATTAGTGTCATCCTTCGTGCTTCTTGTACTTGTCTGCAGAGGTCATAGAGCATTTGCAGAGGTCGTAAAGTGTACCAGTGAGCACCCTAGAGTTTCCACTATACTTCTTTCTTTATGTCACACCTTTACACACTATAGAAGACCTCAGATTAGAGAGCCGGTAAAACAGACTAAAGATGTCTCCTTCAAATTCCTATGTTGCAACCTAATGCATGTATCTCTGTGGGGGTGCCTTTGAGAGGTAGTTAGCTCAGCTTGCAGGGCAGATCCCTGGGAATGAGCCTAGGGCCCTCACACAAGACACCTTGTGATGTTCACTTGGTCCATGAGAAGGAAGCTTTGTGAGCCAGGGAGTAGGCCCTCCCCAGACACTAATCCTACTAAGCTCTTGACTTTGAAATTCCCTGACTGCACAACTATTTTAGCATGTGTAAGTAATAAGTTTTAACAGTGTATAAGACACCCAATTTATGGCATTTTGCTATACCAGCTCAATGGACTAAAACAGTATATTTTTCCTAAGGAAACGAAATCACCAAAAAAAGAGAAGACTCAGGTACCATGTACACTACACACAAATTTTACTTGAAAAATAAGTTGTAATGACAGTGTAGTTACAGTATGGATAGCCTTGCATTGATGCAACTTGAAAATAACTGAAACCTAAGCGCTTACCTTTCTAATTCACATTTTAGCTTCACCTCTCTGCACACTTTATCCCTCCCCCTTTTCCTGTTGAAATATGTTGTTTCTGCTTTGCATTTGCTGTTTCTTCCGATTAACTTTTTTTCTTCATAAGTTTACTCACTTTTCAAGTTTATTTGATTTGTGTAATCTTCCTTTTCTTCCCTTAGGTTTTCAGTGTGCTACAATCTAACAGTTAATGAACTCTCATTATCTGGAGGTCAAGCTGTCTTTTCAGCCCATAGCGATCCCCCAAGGCACACAAGGGGCTCAACAACCCGCTACTCATATGTGTGCAGAATTAGAGTGAAGACGAGATCAAAGCTACAGAATGGTGAACACAGGATTCACCATGCTAGTAAGTCCTTCTGAAGGGAGCAGGTGACAAGTTTGGATGGTGGGTGTGTGGTCCCTTTTACATGTTTTAAAGCAGGTAAATGGTAAGAATTCTGCAGACCTAAGCTACAATAACTAGAAAGCACTCAGGTGAGATTAGCACCAGCTGGTACCAACTATTCCTTTGCTAGGCAAGTCACTCCTCTGCCTTTTTGTGTGTGTGTGTGTGTGTGTGTGTGTGTGTTATTTTTTAAATGAATTTAGGATAGAGTCTACAGGGTCTCACTACATAGATCAGACTCATAGTGATTCTCCTGTATTCTGCCTCCCAAATGCTGGGATTATAGGGGCGAGCGTGCCCTGGGGGCAGGGTCAGCACTGCATACTGGGAAGAACCGCAGCCCGCTGTGCTCTGCCTAAGCAGGTGCTTTAGTCTGCTGAGCTATCTGGCCGGCACTTACTTTATTTATTTTGTTTATTTTTTTTAATTTTTTGCTGGGACCAGAGATCTAACTCAGGTCCTTGAGCTTGCCAGGCAAACACTTATTCTGCTGAGCTATCTCCCCGACCCCGTATATATTTTTTAATAATCCGATGGTTTTTATTATGCTAACGGTTTTGCAACCATCACCATCATCTAGTATCAACATATTTTCATCATCCCCCAAGGAAACCCATATTCAGCACCATTCTTCTGCTTTCTAATGTTATCACTGATCAGCGACTCTCCAGAGGTTGCTTTCTGACCTCTGTTCTGCGGGGATAAGGCTTACAGGGATAATTCGGGTCAGCGCTCCCGCTCCCTTCCCGGCTCACCTGTACAGGGACCCCTGGCTTACTGGCTGTTGGCCTTGGCCTTTACGCCCGCGTCCTTCCGTCGCGGCCGACGTGGTCCGCGGTACGCGCTGACGTTTGAACGCCGCAGCCTGCCCGTAGCCTGGACCAATGGCTGGGCACGCTGCGAGGCCCCGCCTACCACGAAGCCGCGCGCGCCGGGACGCGCCAGTGGGCGGGGCGTCGGCGTGCAGAGGTCGCTCGGCGGTGGTTCCTACGCTGTGCTGTGTCCCTTTCCGCCGCCGAGCCATGGCTTTTGTCACCCGGCAGTTCGTGCGCTCCTTATCCTCCTCCGCCACCGCCTCGGCCTCGGCGAAGAAGATCATTGTCAAGCACGTGACAGTCATCGGCGGCGGGCTGATGGGCGCCGGCATCGCGCAGGTGAGCGGCGGCGGCGGCGTCCCCGGTGCTGCCTCGGCGCGCGCTCTGGAGCCGCGCAGCCCGCGAACTTCGCGCTTGGAATCCAGGTGTGGACGGCTTGCTCGCTGTCCAGCGCGAACAGGAATGGGCTCCCCGTGAGCGCGGCTGCAGCCCGTGTTCACCTTTTTCCTGCTTGAAACAGTTCTTTTATCAGAGCAGTTTCTCACCGTCCCCTGCACTTGCCCGTGTGCCTTGGGAGTTGTCGGGGCACCGGAGGATAACTTAGCCCAGCACTTGTCCAACTTTGTGCAAAGTGTCACCCGAGCTCGCGCAGGCCTGGCGCCCCGCCCGCGCTGTGCGAGGGGACGGCGACCTTCGGTCCCGTTTGTGGGCGCGGAGCTTGGCGCTGGGACAGCGGGAGGGTCCGATCTGCGCCTGAGAACTCTGCCCCGTGCCAGCTGGGATGTGGTTCAGGGTTGGTTGTGCAATTTATGATCTGTGTGCTCTAATACTTGTAATCAGTGTCTTTTTCTCTGTCTCTGCCGCCCCGCGACGTTACAGTCCTGCTCGCACTGGAGAACCCTGATTTTCATTTCCTCGCCGATTGTATTCCTAGCCTTTCGGGCGTTTGCCGCTGGAGTTGTCGCGGGTAGGGGTTATGGACATCGACTTTTTCCTAGGGAGGGAATCTTGGTGTGCAGTGGCTGTGGACGTCAAAGAGTTTGAGTTTTGAGTTTTCATCGACTTTTTGCCAGTCTACACTTGCATGCTTTTTTTTTAGGGCGGGGGGAGCAATTTACTAACTTGGGGTGACATTGAATTTACCATCTCGCATTTCTTCTGAGATCGTATTTTTGATCAAACCTTGTCCATTTTATTGTGTGGATGGCCTGGCTGCTGATGGTACAGTGTCCTCCCTAATAAATACGGGGCTAGGAGGAGTAATTGCCATCAACCTAAAAGTTGGCACATTGTATTGAAGAGAAAGTTTCCTTGTAGTACTCTTGTATCTCTCTGCTGTGCCTGAACATCCCAAGGCTGTGAAGGTAAGATTTGTTGTGGAAAGAAATACAACAGTGTATTTATCTTAAGAGCTTAAACGTCTCAGCAAGATATTAGGGCCTTATGCCTTCAGTAACCCTACAGGATAAGGTCTGAAAACTGTCCTGGTTGGCGTTCTTGAAGAATGTAATGGAAAGCAGCTAGAACCTTAGTAGAACCACACAGTGTTTTTGTATAAAACTCAAGTTGCTTTGTTCCTGGAATGCTGTGTCCCCAAATTTGGCTTTTGGGGCCAGATTGGCCCCAAAGCATGCTGGGTTGCATGAAGAGGCATAGAGATGGTGCCTAAAATTATGAATATAGTATTGGCTCTTTTACCAAAGAAGGAGATGTGAGTGACATTGATGGGGAACATAGACTCTGGGGTTAAAGCCTAGAGGTTTGTGAAATTTAAGGGAAAAAGAATGTTATGATTTTCCTAGATTGGAAGCAGTTGTCATTGCAAAAGGTAATAAAGACTAAACACTCACATAGAGGAAAGGCATAATGAATAGTAATTCTGTCCTTAAAGAAACATGGTTTAGAGAACCTCAGACATTTTAGTTGAAAACTGTAATACTGGGCTTTCTTGCAAGACAGCCCTGCAGTGTTTTCAGTGGTGGAGAACACTTGTTTTTTCACTCTACCCAGTAACAAGCAGCCCAGGTGGTCTTGGCTCCTGTCTGCCCTTTGGCTTGCCACTTTTGGCACAGGGTGGTAAGTCAGCCGCTTTTGACACAGGATGGTAAGACTCTTGCCTGTTGAGCACCACGGACTAATCTACCGATATGTGTTGAGAAGGACTTGAGTTCGGTGCAGGGGGTGAGTGGTCTGCGTGTTGGCTCTGTCCTGTGCTGGCTGTGGTAACAGGAACCATTTAACTGCTGCACGTTAGGTTCCTTGTCTCTGAAGGCCTCTTTCTGGTGCTGCCCTGGTAGGACTGTGCAGAGACTGCATGAATTAGCCCAGTGTCTGGGTCACTTGCAGGAAGAGCTCACAGAAGGTCAGCTGCCTGACTTTCTGATGATTATTGTCATTGCCCATATCCTGTCCTGCTGGCCTTTTCACGCTGTCCCCTTTGGCTCTTTGTAGGCTCCCTAGACCCAGATGGGGTGTGGCGGTCATAGCCCTGTTCTGTCTTGCGTGATCATGGATGTAGTGCCAGCTGGCACCAAATTGTGTCCGGCCTCTGTGAAAAGAGGGAGGGCACCTTCCCTCTGCTGCCTGCTTCTTTGTCCCACCTTTGGAACACTCCAAAGGGACAATGCAAACTAGACTCCCAGTTCCACTGATGCTTCACATTGAGCGGTGGTCTCCTGAGCTCTTTAGGAAGTAGTTCCAATTGTAGAAGGTGGCTGTTAAGTGTACAATTTTAGTTTTTAAAATCTGTCACTTTAAAAAATGTATTCAAGTTAGTGCTGAGCAAGATTTTAAACAATGTCCATCTTGTAGGCACTGATGCTCTTTTCAAGCAATTAAGCAATTTTAGATAAATGAAGCCTGTGCTTAATTCTATTTGAGTAGAGTACAGGCCATTATAACCATGTGTATTTGCAAAGAACATCTACTTTGCCTATCCTTTCTTTTGTTTATTTAAAATTTTAGAAATCCCTGAGGCTGCAGGTAAATGTTTGAGTTAACTTGGTCCCTGGGTTTGCCCTGTATGTACTTCTCATTTGCTTTTGATTGCCAATTTATCTTCAGCAGGATAAACAGGCCACCAGAGGGGCTCGTAAAATGAAATGAACCTTAAGTGAGGACAGATTGGTCTTTGCTTTGTGAAGGAGGAAGAAAGGAAACTCCTAGCTCTGCATTTTTTTTCTCTTTGCAGTACTGGGGATTGAACTGAGGACCCTGCGCTTGCCAGGCAAGTGTTTATTCTACTGAGCTATCTCTAGGCCCTTTGCATTTCTTCTGTTGCTATAACAAGTCTTTCCTAAGCTCCATTAGTTGGTTGCTTTGTTTTCATTTGAGAAGTCCAGGAAGCTAATAGCTGTCATTAAAGTTCAGGGGAGGAGGCACTGACTGTAGGAGCAGTGTTTCAGAGATTTTCTGGGACAGCCTTTTTATCTTTTTCAATTTATTTTTATGAGTCCATGTTTACAGTACATAATGTTCACATTGGTCATGGGGAGGGGGTGCATCGTGTTCATAACTCATCTTTCTGCCCCCCGCCTTCCCTCCTTCCTTCCCTCCACCCTTGGTCCCTTTCCCAATGCAAAGGATCTGTCTCCTTTTTAACACATTACACTTCCTTGGGGGAAGTCAAAGGTTTGCAACTTGAAAATTAGGATGACTTCATCTGATCCTAATTTTTTCCCTGTCATCCTTTTAAAAAGCCGAAAGTAAGCCCTATTAAAACCAACTGGGGTTTGGGGAGCATCATAAGCTCTAGGTGGGATTTCCCCCATCTTTGTGTACGCTGATACTGAGCAAGCACACAGGTGGACAGCAAGCTTTTCCCACTTCATGGAATTCTTCCATCCACCCAGAACTGCTTTGTACCTTTTAGTTTTACTCATTTCTGGTGCACAGTAAGTTATAACCCTGTTGAAGTTTGCTTGAAAAACTGCAGAGACCTAGAAGCTTCAGGGTCAGAAGAAGCTGGCATAGTTAGCCAGCTCTGTGCCTACCTGCTGTGCTTTATGGAGGGGGTGTTTCGATTCCCACCATTAGCTTCGTCCTCAGAGGAGGGGCTGTGCCTGTTGTGAAGATCCTTCCTAATTTCCTGAGCAGCTGCTTAATTCCTCGTGGGTCCTCCTCCACCAGCAGGTTAGACGTTGGCTTTGGGATGGTTCTGGAGAAACATCCGTGGTGTACACAGGAAGTGGGTCGTGCTGGCAGCCAAGAAACCGCTGTCATGGCGTATATGCGAACATTCCTCACAGATGAAATGGTACATTGCTCAGAGTTGGGTTTTTCTCTGCCATGTGCTAGACCCAGTTTTTTCTGTCCCCTCTCTCTGGGTGGAGTTTCTAGTTTCCTCACCCCCTCTGTCCTCCCTCATCTGCCCAGCTTTGCTGGAGCCACGGAACGCAATGCAGTGCTGTTGCCTCTCCTGGGTCACCACAACGTGCCCAAGTGTTAATGGTTCCATCGTGTCTGGTGAAGGGTGTTCTATGCTAGAAGTTCCCAGCTGTGAGGAGTTGCCTGCCATTCTACACCCTGGCCTCCCTGGCCTGGCTGTGTGAGCCTTGGGGCAGCCACTTGACCCCACTCCCTCTCTTTGGGGCTGGTGACTGTCACCTCAGGAAGGAGAGTTGAGGTTCACATATTTAGATAGTATCTGTGTTCAGTGGTAATTCTCAGTAACTTTCAGCTGCTTTTGTATACATGTTTCAGATAAAACCCCGTGGTTTATGTAAATTCTCAGCTTTGAAGATGAAATATGGCAAGTTCATCCAGTTTGACACATTTTAAAAACAGTTCTGTGGACTGTTGAGAAAGATGGTAATCTTAGTAACTTTTTCTGGTTAGTTTCATGACTTGCTCCTTGGAAAACATTCAGGAAAGAGCCTGGCACTTCAGCTCCCTGCAGACATTTGTTCTGTTCACAGCTCTCTGATGGCTCTCATGTGACCTGTGCATAATTGCTCATTGTAATCACTCTGACCCTTGACCAGGGAACAGAGCTGGGGCTGGAACACTGGGCTACACCCGTGTTCTGGTGGCCAGAGACCCATAGTTGTACCAGCCTCTGTCCTAGCAGCCTTGTGTGATCTGTGTGGCGTCTGTGGCGAGGACCCTCCTAGTGTCACAGATGCCAGCTTGCCCTCCCTGAGCCCCAGCTCAGAGTCAGAGTCCCCTGCTGCTGTGTCCCTCTGGATCTGTGCCGTCATCTCCTCACTGTAACCTGAGTCCTTGCCTTCCCTTTGCTCCTGCCAGCTTGCTCCAGAGTGCCTTCTTCAGTGACTGCTCTTGTGCTTCAGACACACACTGGGAGGCAGGGTCGTCGTTCTTGGCCCCTCCACCCTGGTACG